AAAAATTATTACGATTAAAACAGTTTCGTTATTAATGAAATATGGTTCATAAATGTAGAAAACTAATGCATCCATTTATCTTAAATAAATTACTGTATTCACATTTACTGTATTTAGATTACCTGCAATTACATTACATAAAAACACTTTCACCATTCTTGTCATTGCTATTTTTAAACCTATAGGTTGTAAAAAATTTGGTACACTGTACCGAACTGATAAGATTATGAAGATCAAATTAATATTCACACGTTCAACAATAAAAACTAAAGAGCGACACAACTTCTGAAACAACCCTATCACAAAACTTACCACCCTTCACGAATTCAACATCAGGAATGTCATTTCCAAGTCTCAAGTCCACAAAAGCTGTTCTCACAGCATCCACGGCAAAATCCCAACCTAAATCAGCGCCGCGTTTTGAACAGGGATAACGGACTTCGGCAAGCCTCTCTTCTTCGCAAAATTTTCGCGTTTCCAATGGATGTGAGTGAAGTTTCTTCGTGTCTTCTCCTGACCCTTCTAGAGGCGCTTTCCATTCGACATTATCCTGGGGTTTGAGGACATCGCTGAAGTCGACTTCCGTTTGCGAACTGATACATTGGCCAAAAACAAAACAAAAAAGTCTCGTAGATTTTAATTAAAACTCATTCAACGACAAGGAAAAATTAGAGCGAACCTTTTCTGGAGGTATTCGTGGATCTTGTCTGGGGGGCAGTGGGCCATGGCAAAGGAAAGTAGTTTGGCCCTCAAACCCGGCGCACGGGCTGCGTCAATTTTCATGTCGGACAAAGTCGAGCCGAATTTCCCACAAACTTCCCATCCACCAGCATGTCGCTCTTTTGCCAATATGTTGCATAAATCAGAGCACACAGAGAAATCCTTCACCTGCCAAAAAAAAAAANACTTTAATTTTCGACACAACTGAGAAAACTTTTGAACCCATTCAACACAAGAAAAAAATACGTGAACAAACCTGAAAAGCCTTTTCCGCCAAAATGGTAAACACTTTTCCTTTAATATTCTTCTCATCGTCTGCATTTGCAGGAGGCACGAGCAAGAAAGCAAGATCCAACACCTTTTGAGGCTTAGAATAAGCAGAAACATCTGACCGTAAAACCTCCCTGATAACGTCCAACTTATCAGGTTTCAACCGAACTGCAAAAAAATGCTATACGTTTCAAAATTGCAAAAAATGATGTCCAGAAAATCAATCTCACTTTGCACAGGAAGAAGTTTGACCCCATACTGCGATAATACTGGCAATGATTCGATAAGCTTCATGTCTCGGGCCACTTCTGGAGAAGAGCCAGGCCCCACAAGAGCCAGGCATTCAGCAGCCAAAGCCACATTTGGCCCAGTTGCAGAAGCACACGCGTCCAGGTATTCCCTGCTGGCCTCCAAACACAATTTCACACTTTCCGCGTAAGTAAGCTTGCCATCATCAGAACCTGAAGTTGCAGGAACAGAACTGAGTCTGTCCCCGGCGATTCTTATCAGATCATGGTTGCTGGACACCAACAAGGATTTTATCCAGATGGTCGACACTTCCTTGGGGGTCAGGACATCTGGGAAACCGATCTTTCGAATGTTCTGGATTTGCTGCAGCAGGTTGAACCAGTCCATTTTGGAAAACGGAGGTTTCCTGCAACAACAACAAATCAATAAATGTGCCTAATGCCGGATTAGATTTCTCAACGATTACGTCACAATGAGTCAAAAATGCAGTCCCGATCTACCTTTAGTGCTATTAAATTGAATAAAGTGGTCTTTCAATTCAAGGTCGTGTCAACAAGCTTTCCTCCTGAGCATTCGAAAATTTCTCCATAATTGGAACTCCCGGTTCGAAAAATAATCACTTTCTTTCAATTGCGGGATTTTCACGATGAGAAAAGCCCAATTGAAATTAATCGGAATGCTGCAGTCAAGACAATAGATGAGATAATCTGGGTTCAAGCTCTTTTCCTTTTTCGTGAATCCAACAAGCCCAGGTGAAATACCGCAAATTCTATTTTAATTCATTTTCAGAATCGCGCAACTTCGTTCAGCCGGCAACTCAAATCCCCGCTATTTGCTTCAAATTTTCAGCAACCCTTTTCGTGCCCACATATTACCAATTCAATTACCTGGAAATCGGCAGCCGGCAAATTTTAACCATCAAATCCCTCACGAGTTCCGCATCGTCCCTCAAACTGGCCACATGCCTCGGAACCAGTGGCACTCCAACACTCGTCGTCATATCAGCAGCTTTCAGGTCTTCATCCGCTCGACTCGCCTCCCGTCGCATCTTGGCACTCATGGGCGGGAATCCGGAACTCTGGGACCCAGTGGCTCCCATCAGGGAGTTCAACGTGTCCGCCATGTTGAAGACTTTGGGCAGGTCTTCCCAACGTTCGCAGGCATACACGCATTCAATGACGAGGGCGGCGAACTTGTCCGTGTCTGGGATGGTGAAGCCACGGTCCTTCTTGCACGCTTCGATCACCTAATATAAATCAATCAAAGTTGTTTACAGTAAGATGATGATCTTTGGTACGTCAACGGCACACAGAGAAGGTGAAACTGCAATTTAACCTTTTTCATGAAGGACTATTCAAAACGACTCCATCTTCCTAAAAAATCAGAAAGGTTTGAAGATGCGACTAGACCTGACAACATTCACAAACCAATCTAACTGACCCACAATAAAGTAACTGAAGACATAACTGACCTGGCCAAACACCAAAACAGCTTTTTACAAACCAAACCTAATCCACGATTAAACCAACTGAACACAAAGCCTAACTTATCTAATACGGTACGGTATATAAAAAAGACCATGAAAATTAAATGTAGAACTGGCGAATAAGTGGCAATTTAAAAGGTTCAGTATCATCTTCAAGAGATTCAATTTATAAAACATTTAATGTTTCAAAGATTTTGCAAGAAGATCCAGAGGCACTACTTTGCATAACGAGTTCAGCTAGCCACTTAATTCGCATCAAATCATCACGAAATCAAGCAATTCAATACTTGACGCACTTTCCGAGCTTTCCCCACGTCGCTTTCACACAGCTTCAAAGCGAATTTCCGCAAAATCTCGAACCTGGATTCAAAATCCGTCCGGGTGGCCGAGTTGTGGTCAAAATAAAATCGCAGCCAAGTTGAAAAATTCCTCAGGAAGTCTTCGTCTTTCGTCTAGATTGAATAATTAGAGAAATTTCCCTTTTTCAATTCTCAAAACGAAAAAGACTAACAAACCTCGGACATCATGAGTTCAATCTTCGCCAGATCATCCAGTTCAGAAAACTCTTGATAAGAAATTTCAACTCCCGGAGCCGCTTCGTAGACTATCATGTCCAAAACCATGAATTCCTCCAACATGATCTCCAATCCCTAAAAAAGTGAACCTCGAATAGAACTTAAACGAGAATTGCTTAATTAACGCGTGGATGAATTTTAAAAGAATTTCTGTTCAACTATTTTAATTCAGCCGTTGTCGAATGATAAATATTTTCCCCCAAGTTCATCTTACTCTTAAGGCTCGCCCAAATTTATTTATTTTTTTTTAAACCCACGATCTTGAAATCAAAATAAATCTCCGAAATAAAATAAAAACTTGCAACTGAGTTGACTCAGGTATTTAAAAAAAATTGAAAATTGGAGATGAAACTGAATATTACCTACTTATAGTCACACGTTTTCTGTGGCCCGAAAATTGTTACCTACGTAGGTATATATACAATACAGTACTCACAAAAGGCTACCCGTGAAAACAAGTGCTGTCAAAAAATTCGGAATTAACAATAATCCCAAAAGAAAACCTCAAAAAGATCCATGGGATAATTGGGGTTGCTGTCACGTACAATTCTTACGAAAACCTTCGGGCCCAAAAAAACTTCCTTCTTATTTTCTTAGGATTCTTCATCTGTTATGAAAGATTTTTGAAAACTGTGAATCTATGCTAAAATTGAGCGTAGTATGAATTCTTCATCAGTGCTCACAGCAATGGCGTTTTCATTGCAGAGCTTGAGGAAGTTGAGGCCATTCTCTACAACTCTTGATCTCGAGTCGATTTCGACTGCTCTACCTCT